CATACATATATAAATATAAAACGCTGATTTACTATTACCGAATTATATTATAATGATAATTATTAAACATAATTGATATTACATTTATTTGATTTAATATTTCATCAAAAAAGGATAGAAGACAAACGCAAAAATCCTGTATAATGCAAGCACGCAACAACAAAATTATTATTAACAACAACATTGTCCTTGGTATTTACAAACATAACCCAACAGCAAGAAGAAAATAACAGAAGAACAAAAAAAATAAAAACAAATAGCGCTAAATATAAAGAAGAAAAACCAGAAAGCGTAAAAAAAGAAAGCAAAGATATTATTCTTAACAAATTAAAAAAGGAAAAATTAATAAATTGTTTTTAAAAAATAAAAATCAACATTTTTTCAACCATTTCTTTAACGCGCATAGCTGGCGGCTTACAAGCAGATAAGCAAAGAATACGATGTATGTAAGGTTATCCATTTCGAGGTTCCCTACTTTTATAAAGAAAGAACACTGAAAAATCAATTTGAATGAAGAATATTGATTAACATTCGCAAGCACAATCCTTGGCATTCATTTTTTGCAGATTATCAGTTTCAAATGTTGGCCGCGACTACGTCTCAGATGGTCTGAAGTCTAACGTTGTGACATCACATGATCGTGGTGGCCATTTCACCGGCCCTAAACGTGAAATTATCTTCTTAACGAAGTTTTCTCTCAATAAATCTTTTGATTGATGCGATTTGAGGGAAATCTACAAACAAAAAAATTATAAAAAAAACTTCAAATTATAAAATATTTTAATAAAAAAACAATATTTTTTTTAAACGTTGGAAGTGAGATATGAATATAAATATATAGCAGACATTTTTGACCCATCCTAATATATATATATTTTTACAGTGTAGAAACCTTTGCTGTGTGTGTGTCAAAACACTTGCTTTCATTAGAGCCGCGCAGCCATTTGAACCAGTTCCGCTGCCTGATTAGCATTACCGGCTTTGCAGCTGAGGCGCCAAACTCATTTGTTTACGAATTTGCTTGTTATTGTAGTTATTGTCACTGACACGGCAGCGATTTTAATTTGATACAAACGCGAGCTGTGATAACAACGATGCCACAAAATTTAACACGCGAGTGCCTTAGCGCCCACGACCAGCAAGTGCTGGATTCCATATTCAATCCGCTGGAACTCACTTCGAGTGTGACGCAAGCAATTGGACCCGAGGCGCACGCCAACCTAGTGGATGTCGAGCCGGTCACTGCAGCAGTGCAGCAATCCAAGGTGCTGGAGTTGTGCGCCATCAAGTTGGCGGAGGAAGACAAATTGGTGGAAGCCTTGCAATGCTTTGAGCAAGCGATTGATGTGGCACCGACACGTGCCTCTGTTTACAATAATCGTGCACAGGCGCTGCGGCTTGTCGGCAGGGATGAGGGTGAGTATTTGATAAAATAATTTTTTTTCTTTTCGGAAAATATGCTAAACGTTATTAGCGCACTTCTTCTGAATAGCAGTACAATAATTTAAACGTTGGTTCACAAACTGTTTACAGTTTAGGATGCGCTGTATAAATTTTGCTTTCGCAGCGCACATTTCAGACTATAACCAAGCGCCGCGACATCTAACGGTGACAAAGGCACGTTATATTTAGGGTAAATTCTGACATTATCGTTAGCAAGCAAAATAATAAATTTCAACAAGTAAGGTAGGCCAAGTGCGGATGTAACCGAAGGAATATGCGGTTTGGGCCAAGTTCTTAACCACGTAATTTTTAAGCAAGATTGTATACTGTTTTTCATCAAAATATCATATTCTTTATAAAAGATATATGCGGGTTAAAGGAAGTATTACCTCGACTGAACGTATTTTTGACATACAGACATGCCAGTATCGTTAAAGGATTCCTCCAAATTCTCAGACTTTTCGGTCAAAAGTTAGCAATAGGCACAGAAGTCCACGTATTCGAAATTTGGAGGCTTGAAGTGTTTTGCACCGTTTTTCACACTTTTTAGACACGAGAACGCTACTCTTATGAGGGCGGGACCATGCCCCCTTTTTAAAATCTTCGGCTCCCTACTTCTGGAGCACCAGGTTCTAAGTTCCTCTTCTTCTTGATTTGCAGTTTAGTTATAGTACTTTACCGATTTTTCGCTTAATGGGATTTTGTGGGCGTGGAAATACTCAGATTACGCCGATCTACAACACAGTTCTCTTAATTCGACCATGGAACATGGAAATTTCATGACGATATCTTAATCTAAGCACACTGCCCTGTGGAACCTACTCCTAGCGGCATCTTCTCCGCGTACATACCTTCGAGTGATATGATGGTGGGGAGGAGAAAAGGCATAATGATCTTTTCAAGGATATATCGAAGCTCAAGGAGGTCGTAGGAGGAGTCTTTTTTTGGGAGCTCTCAATCAACTCTTGATTCCGACAGTCAGATAAATTCCAATATACTATTGGGTGCTAGTGAGGCGATTTGATCCCTATTTGAAGAAATGGATCTGAGTGTATTTATCCTACGTCTGTAGACTGCTATGCAGCCAATTAGCAGGTTTTCCGGAGTTTCGGGCTCACTGGCGCAGAACCGGCAATTCGAACAACAAGCTGGGGCTATCTTATTTAAGTGCTTCTTCAGCTTGCAGTTACCTTTGTGGAATGCGACAAGTAGCCTGAGTTGAGTAGTTGAGTACTTCTTTAAACCTGCTAAGGTTATAATCCCCCTGTAGCAACTTAGCATGGCGCATGCCTTGGAGTTGTTGCAAATACCTCTCTCGTTCTTTTTTGTGGAGCACCTTCTTTACGGTATAAGAAGCCACCGAGTTGAAAGGTTCAGGTCCTACCAAGTAAGTGGATGCTACGGACCCGGCGCGCTAATCAGCCTAAAGTGGGTACATCAACTTCCTTTTCTCTCTTATAGACTCTGAGGTACAGCTAAATAGTGTTATAAAGAAGAAGAGGTAGGTAGAGGTGCATATATATTATCATATGATCTATCTATCTGCTAAGTTTGTATCTTTCATCATATGTTGTAAAAATGTTCAAAGCACATCTATAATTCATTTCATATTTTTCCACCAGAGGCTCTTGCCGATCTCTCTAAAGCGATTACACTGTGTACCGAACAACCGCGCACGAAATGCACCGCTCTCTGCCAGCGCGGCATGCTCTACAGGAAGCAGAACAATGTGGATGCGGCGCGCAAGGACTTCGAGGACGCGGCGCAGTTGGGCAGCAACTTCGCCAAAACACAGGTACATATGCCCTGTTGTTATTTTCCTACTTTTATTAAAGAAAAATCCTTTTCAGCTGGTGGAGCTCAATCCCTTTGCGGCACTTTGCAACCAAATGCTGCGCCAGGCATTCGATCAATTGAAGTAGAATTTATTGCTGTTGTAGAGTTGCAAAATAAAAAAAAATAAACACCACAAGCGCGCTGGAGCCAAATGAAGCTATTAACTATTTTAATAACATAATATGAGCGTTTAAAAAGAAGCACATCAAAAATCCTTTGAACGCAGAAAAACTGCTTTGCGGCGTTTCTAAGCCAAGTCCATAAAAAATGTAGTAAAAATAAGCTAAAATCAAAAATGTCGCTGTTGCTAAAATAAGTTGCGGTAAATTGTGGTCAACTCTCGGCGGACCCTTGCCAAGCGAACCCTCTGCGCGCATGCGTGGCTTTGTAGGCAGCGCAGTGCACGCAATTTTTTATTTATTGTTGCTGTTTTGAGTTTGAAGTTGCAGATTGCGGCAAGGTGCGTTTTAGCAATGCCAACAACAGCAGCAACAACACGCTCTTGCAGCACTTGCAGACAACAATAACAAATAAGCAGTGTATGTCCCTACAAAATACACATGATTATAATGCATTTGTATGTGTGTGTTCGTGTGCGCATCAGCAACAGCAACAGTTGCAATCGACACTCAGCAAGTCTCGGCTGCCGACGCGTCTCAGCAATTGGCACGTGGTATGCGCGCGATCTCTTGCCTGCCCGACAACACACACTGTTGCACGAACGGCCCGCGTTCACAACTAGCCACTTGCAACAACAAACACTGCTTTGCACTATTAGTACGTGTGCCAGTTTAGTTTGTGGTTGAGGTTGTCGTTGTTGTTGTTGTTATTATTGTTGCCACAGTGATTATGATTAAAAGGCATTTACGAGCAGCGCGTTGCCGCAACGTGTGTCGAACGCGGCGGCGCAATGTGCATGTATAAAAACAACTGTTACTGTTTTGCGGCGGCCACAACAATAGCAACAAATACAGTCACAACTGATGCCTTAACAGTTATTAAATGCAACACATGCCACAACAACAACAGCAATCTGTATGAGTATCTCTGACGCTAGGGGACGAAGCAAAACAAATCCTTGCGTTCGGCGTAAAGAATTGGCGGCGAAAGGAGAAACATTTATCAAACACACACACTCTCATACGTACATATATTCGATATATGTAAGTTGCATTAAGCTGCGTGTAGTGCTTATAGCGATATTGTGTTCAAAAATGCTTTCCAACCTGCGCATTTCTACAAACAACGAAGACACGGCTTTCAAGCGAACTGTGATTCTTTCAGGCCAGTGGTGATACTTTTGAGATGACGCTATAAAAATTAATGTCTCTTCGCTACTTTCTCTTGTTAGAGGTCCTTCGCTATTTGCTCAAAATAAATTGCGCTCTTTCCACAGCCTACTCAACAGGTCTTCTCTAGTTTTCGAAGTTCTCTAAAGACATACGCGCATTATACCTAGGATGCCTTTTTATATTTCGTTATTGGGAACCGTAGTGTCGCAGTCTGCCAACTCACAAATTTAGCAAAAAGTTGGACATTTTTGATGTTAGACATACTCAGTCGGTTTTGACGTACGAGCACTATTTGTGTTGTTTACAGTAGCTTAAAATATTCTTCTCGGCCAAAAAAAATTTAATTAAATTGCGAACATTTTCGTGGCGATAAAGAACAAACAAGAACCAGTTACTGTTGTTATTGTTATAGCGGTTATCTAATTCCCACTTGATTGGTTAGGTTCGTGTGAGTTATCATCGAAGTCATCTAACTGTAGGCCCAAGAAAAACGCTGTTTCGACGGTGTTGGAATATGGGGCGAGGGGTGTTAGATAAGTAGGGTTCGCTGATTAGTTCGCATGAAAAAGAAATAGATGGCCAGAGACTTGTTATTCAACAATCAATTTCCACCACGGCCGGTGCTACATTACTGAAATTTACCTGTATTTTATGCAGTCAAGGGCTAGTATTTCTGCGATTGAAACCTGTTTGAATCGGTAAGTTTTAGGTTAAGTTAGTCAACAAGGGCCAGAGTTTATAAATAGTGTGGTGAATTCAATCGAGTTTTTTGCAGCGCGTCCATCTTGTGTTGTCCACTCAGATGACTGTCGATTGGATTTCAGAGTAAAACAATGGAGCCGTGTTTCATCCATTGACACATATCGACGCGAAAACTCGGGATGTTTACCATGAAAATTTCGACACACTGCTCCAAATCGTTTTGACAGAGTTCAGCAAAATAAGAAATAGCGGCTACGTTGTCTAAGTATAGGTCATGTCGACCGAATGGAGAAGAACACTCCACAAAGAGTACTCGACGCAGTACACGCCGTTGAAGCAGAGAAAGCGGAGGGAAGATATCCACTCCGTTGGAAGGACCTAGTGGAGAATGTTGTAATCTCGTTTTCTGACACCTGAAGTGGGGCTCCATTGATTAATATTTGTTTTTGTTCACTAATACTAAAAGTTAAAGAGGCCTCCATCGTACAACTAAATCTTATATCCGCACATTTTCTTCAAAATTCTATTCGTTTGCCTTGAAACCCCGAAACGAATCACTGTTCACACTCAATATGTAGCCACTTTAATATAAATAACTACAAATAATACAAAATGCTGGTACACCTCAGACCACAACAGTTGCAACCGAGCAGTGGCACAAGCAACAGCCGCAACCTCGGTCCCATAACGAAATTATTTAAATAAACGAAAGTGGTTTCTTGGCTTTTTGCATTGCCACGATTGAAAGAATCGGTCAGGCGTATGTAAGATTCTGCGCTAAAGCTGCGCACGCGCAATGTGTTACTGTTACGGCTGTGTGTGTGTTGTGTGTCGTGATATGTGGCATGCGGCATGCGGCATGCGTGCCAGCGCGTCATGGTGGCACGAGCTGAAATCAAAAACTGGTAGAAAAAAAACCAAAACAACAAAAACAACCTCTGATGTTGCAGTAAACCGCAGAAAAGGTTGAGTGCTGAACTTCAAGGCACAGGATTGTAGTTGTAGCCGAATTTCGCCACTGCAGCAGGCTCGCACCCAAGTCCCGGCGACCGCAACTGCTGTTGCCGAGATAATGCTGTCACTTTTTGCGTTTCTACTTGTTGTTATTGTTGTTGCAATTGTCCTACAGTGGCAGCCGTCGTTAAAAGCAAGTCCCTTCCCCAAAGCGCTTGAGCTGAGAACAGTTTTTCTGCTCGCGCGCACAGCACAGAACAGTTAACCATTTAAATTGCCGACGAACGACGGCGACCGACGACCCAGACACGGCGCAGATCCTGTTTAATGCATTTTTAGTGAACTCTGCTACACAACTACTCCTCTTTTTGTTGTTGGCTGCTACAACAAGCTTTGGCGATGCATACAAAATAATGACGCGATTGCGGTTAAACTGTGTCTGCAGCACCTTGGCCAACGCCAAAAGAACAGGTGCAGCCGCAAGGATAACGAAAGCAGCAACAGCAACTATAAGTAGAGTACGACGGAAGAAGTAGTGGTTGAGAGATGCGGATGGACCGGAAAAGAATCACAATTGATGTCAGCGGTTTTGTTTGCCAACATTTGGACTTTCGCATTAAGATGTCTTCACAGCGTTTAAAGTGCTTTAGGGTAACCCTGAAGCTCGGCAGAGTACAGGCGATTAAGTGCGTAAGACTAAAAGCCGAAGCAACGATTGAGTGGCAAATGACATTATTTTATCATAGCTATGACAGAAATTAGGTGTCACGAGAGAGAAAGAGAGAAGGACGCTTTGACATGGATTAGAAGAACGAGAGAGAAAAAGAGGAAGAAGGAAGCTTCGACAAAAATTAGGAGATCGAAGGAGCGACGTAGAGTGAGGAGGAGACTATAGCGCTCCACAAACATACTTATGCACCACTGCAACACTGTGGCTGCTGCCTCATTAATAACCAACATTTGCAAATGTTGACATTCATTAATTGCCACTTGATTTACCGTCCATGACGCCTTTTTTCACTTTTCGCCAAACAAACCGAGTTACTATGCGTAGATCAGCAATTTACACCATAACCGCGGCAGCAACAACGCCTCCACGCACTCGGCTCCTGCGTTCCTACGACATCAAGCAACGCCCGCACAAACGCACCTACATGTGAACGACAGTGAAGAGTCAACAAAGGCGAATGGCGCCTGCCGACATGAATAGCAACTGAAATCATGTAATTATGTTGCCTTTTGTCAGGTCGGACGACATAACCACAGCCGCCGAAGAGGCTGAATAGGCAGACGCTACAGCACGCCAAACCACGAACGCCAAAAGCGAAATGTGAGTAGTATTGCTAGTGGGCACTGCAGCGCTGGTGCTGTAACTATTTTTATGCAAATCGCTACTGACAGCTGCTGAATAGAACAGCCAACCACTAAATTGTGCGACCAACAACGGCGATAGCGGTAGCGGCTGCAAACGTGCGCGCCTCCTTAAGACAGCCGAAGAATAACAGCCAACAATAGTAGAATAAAATCACTTGAGTCATCAGCAGCGAGTTGGAGCTAAGCTATGTATATGTATCAACTTGACTACACAACCAACGCTACTTGGAAGCTTTCGGTGAGCTCTATCGGCTTTAGCGTAGTTCGGAGTTGTGGCTGCGCCGCAAAACGCTTTGATGTGTAGGCAAATCTCACGCGCAGTATCGTTTTAAGTTAGTGGAAACACAAATCTGTGTTTGCTACAGCACAATGGACTGACAATTCGCAAAACGACCGACCCACAGACCAGCCGGCACATGCTACCGCCTTATGCTTCCGATTCGGTTCGTTATTATTGCATATTTGTGGTTTAAAACGCTCACTCATAGGTATTTAAGTACATGCCAACATTGATTGGAGAACCAAAAAGGTGCGTTTGATCAATGGTTATTAAGGCATCGGAATGGCATCGAGTTGGAGCTTCTTTGTCATCTTGTTTTCTAGCACTGAAACAAAGGATCTCCCGGATTTAGTAAAATACTGTATCATTTTCCACTGCTGTTGCCCAAAGTTTCTTAAGTTGTAGAATTGGGATCCGTACAATATATGCCGTATCGTCTAGCTGGAAGCTGAGCATTTACAATTCAGCGTCTCATATTTTTCCACGTAAGTTAGGCATTTCACATTTCCCAGTTTCGAAAGTGAGATCTTCAGAGGCCAAGTGCCCTGTGATGA